CACAGATTCCCAACAGACTCCCCACAGGTTCCCAACAGATTCCCCTCAGGTTCCCAATAGACTCCCCACAGATTCCCCACAGGTTCCCCTACAGGTTCCCCACAGATTCCCCACAGGTTCCCCACAGATTCCCCCACAGCTTCCCCCATAGATTCCCAACAGGTTCCAAACAGGTTCCCCACAGATTCCCCACAGGTTCCCCATAGGTTCCCCACAGATTCCCCCACAGATTCCCTACAGATTCCCCCACAGATTCCCCACTAGGGCTCATGAGGCATTTGGGGCACGGAGGGATGGCGGCGTTTGGAAGAAAAGCCTCAGCCCGGGACGGTAGTTTACACATTCAGAAAATGGCGACAATGACGCCTGGTAACATGTGGCTGACCCACCTCCCTTCCCTCTGCCTGCACTTTCATAATTTATCTGCAGCTCCTCCTTTGCCCCGCTCACTGTGGAGACTCATCAGCCCTGGCAGGGCCCCACAGGGCTCCCTCGCACCGATCCCTAATGAAAACCAACCGGCCAGATGTTCTCCTCCAACTTTCTATCTCCATCCTGTACACAAAAATGACAGCCAGCCAGTTGCTGCTGTCCATCATCTCCATATTAGCTACAGGAGGCTGCTATTCCCAGTTAAGCAGCCCATCTGTAATGTCCTGCCTGCAGTGTGCTGGCCACGGAGATTCCTGGTGCAAGGCCAGTGTGAAACGTCCAAGAAAAAGAAGAAGTTGCCACGCTGGCGTCCCTGTGATGAATGACATAGGGGATGATTGCGTGGTCTTTTCGAATAGCGGACACAGTTAATTCCATTCGCTTAATGTAACACGCAGGTTAAATATGATGCCTCGCCAAATTTTGTTCTTTGATTAATAGAAACAGCGATGTCTGTCTGGATTTAGGGAGAAGGGGCAGCTGGGAAATCATCCCAAAATGAACGGGGAAGCTGTCAGCTCCCTGCCCCCACTCTGAGAGGAGGCAAATCACCAGACCTGTGACAGCTTTGACCGCTTGGAATCAATGCAGCCATTCGGTCCTGGACAACCTTGAATTCCTCCTGATTGTTGAAGACTGTGGAGCTGGGTTATAATCTGCTCCCATTACAAACGCAAGAACAATTTCAATACAATATCAATACAGTATCAATATCAAATCCAATACCCAAGTATAAGACCTGGTAAATCCAGTAACTGTTTTTTGGTATTTTTTTAAACTATTGGACGCCAAGAACATCTGACTTCCATTTACCACACTGTATGTACACATTACTGAGATGAGGCCCTCACAGATACGGACAATATTAAGTACAGATCTGACTGTATGTGCATTTATAAAGCAATTTTAAGTGTGCCTCCTCAGATGGATTCAGTTGTCAGTAGATGAATCATAAACGGGCCTCACTTCACGTCTGTTCTTAGAGATGGTGACAGGCCGACTGCTTTTTAGGAGACTGGCTTTTAAAGCATGGCAAAAAGAGTGCAAAAGCCTGAGCAAAAGATGGTGAGCACTCAGGCGAAACTATCAATCCTTGTGTACCATTAAATCTTTCGCAGCCTGTCTTGAGCCACGGCACACATCAGAACACCGGGCCCAGATCAACCCACGAGAAATACCGAGTGTGCTCCATCCAAGGAAGCTGAGTTAGTGCATTGATGTCACCGACTGGGGTGTGGGTGGGTGTTTAATGGGCAAACAGAGAAAAAAGGCCCCAGCTCAGTCTGCTAACTGCTACCTTGTTAGGTTTAATTGGCAACTTGGGCAACGGGACGCCTTGCTGCTCCGTGTTTTACAGACGGACAGAGGATGGCCAGATGGATGCCCAGTTCCATCACCTTCCATTTAAAGCAGGGGAGAGACAAGTTAAGGAACGGGTTCCATCATTACTTTTCTTCCTCAAAGCATCAAACACAGACCATTAGACCCTTGCTGTGGTCAGATGAGGATGGTAACACTCACAAGTCCTGCTGAGAGTCCGTCACCCACTCATTGTCCGCGGTGAGTTCTAAAACCTTTCCCACCAAAGACCTGTCCCTCCACAAAGAATGAGTGAGCGCGAAGTCAATTAGTGGCTACAGGGCCCATGAGATTAATTATGGCAGGTGATACACTTTGGCATAAAATGTTACGAGAAGGAAATCGATGCCCTCTGTTGGATTTTTCTCCCCACAGGACAGACACATCCATCTTGAAATCCAATTAGAGGGGGCTTATCCTCACATGAGATCGTCTCATCTGGGTGTGTCGGCTATAAAACAACCAAAAACAAAGTAGTAAAATAAATCTAAAAATAATCCACCTGAAAGATCCATGCCTCCAATAATGCTTCGAAACACAGAAAAGGCCTTTTTTAAATCCGTTTTAGGTCAAACGTTTGGCACATGAAAGCGTACTAGAAACTCTACTCATGGCAGGGTCATACGGTTCCCTTTTTTTAAAACCAGGTAAGTTAAAGAAATGCGCGTGACACAAACCGAGTAAGGACTCTATGACTTTATTATGGTCAATGCGACAACATTATGTAAAAAAACACAGCGTCCAAAAGCGATGACAGCTAAAAGTGTGATAGCTAGGTTAGACATTTCAATGTTCTAAGATTGGTTATTAATAGTTCCAATTGGTTTACTTTCTTCACCTTCCAGTTTCATGATCGGAATTGAATATTTAGGGAAATTAGGTATTACAATTCCCCAACTGTAAGTTGAGTTGATGAACAGTTTACAACAGTTTATTGAAGCATTGCCATAGTTAAATTCAGCTTAAAACGCCACCATG